AGGAGGGAATCTCCCTCCCTCCACTCTTCAGACACTGGGATTAGTGTCACCAAAAGTCACGGGGAACAGAGGGTTGTGTTTAATACACTGGAGATGCCTCTTAAATGTCCAAAATATATGTGGAGTCCTTCAGCTTCCAAAAAAATGTGAGAAAATGTGTTTCATGAACTAGAAGTTGGGGCAAGTAGAAGCTTCTGTTCCAGAAGCTTTGAAGAGGAGGTAAGGATCAAATAAGTTGATGAGTGTAACATAAAAGGAGCCCAAAAATATACCCTATAATGTGTGGAATTTTGACATATGATAAAGCCATTATTCCAATTCACTCGAAAGGATGGATATTTTAGTCCTTTCAGTTGACCCAAATGCCTATCCACTGGAGCAAACATAAGTAGACTCCTTTCTTACATTATATGTAAAACAAAAATGGATAGGATAAAAATCAAGTATTTTAATACAAAAATATGAGAAAAAAACAGGCAACGATGTATACAATTTAAGAGTGAATGAAAAATGTCTTAAGTAACACATACATACACACCCCAGATATCACAAAAGAAAAAGTTGACCAAGGCACATCAAAATGAAATCTTTGTAGTAAATATGCCATAATTAAATTTAAAAACAAATACGAGAGCAGGAGAAATTATTGGCCACCTATGTGGCCAATATCTCTGATATACTATAAACTGCAACATATTTTAAGTAAGGTACAAAAACAAACAAAAGTTTATAATAAAAATAGTAGCTAAACATAAAAATGTGCTTACTCTTACTCTACTTGGGAAATTAAAACAATGAGATGCAATTTTTCATAAAAAAAAATAATTATGAGTTTTTAAACTATGTTAATAGAAGAATAGAAAGCAGAAAATGGTCAGCCCTATCTATGAATATATATATTTTTTGGAGGATACACACCAACGTATTCACTAACTCAGACTTGAGGGAGAAACTTAAACAAAAGAGCAGAAATGTAATCTTCTCTTCATATATCTTTGTAATGTCCTTGTTGCAATAATGATTTATTATTTTTATGATTTTTTAAAAATCTAACAATGTGAGTGATTGATTGTTGTAATGAATTAGGACAAATAAAGAGTCAAATTTGTCCCCCAAACTCTGGTTTGGCCAAGTTGCTACTTTGTGTCATTCATTGAGATAAAGATATTAAAACTGGTAAAGAACAAATACTCTACCATAGGAAATTCTTTTTTATACAGAAGGCAAATATCAATCCACAAACTAAAGTTCAAGAAATGTTACTATTAATACTATTAATATTATTGTAATCAATATTAATTAATTATTATTATATTGATAAGGATTTTTTCAATCAAAAAGAGTTTTGACCTTGAATTTTCCCATCTCATGGGGATGTTGGATCTTTCGATCTCTGTCGAGACGAGGCCTTGTTCCCATCCCCAATCCCACCACACACTGGAAAATGACAGGGCTGCCAGAACTATAATGAAGTGTGGGGAGAAGGCCTGGATTTGGAGACAGATGTGAGTGGAGGCTGGACATTTCCCAAATGATCTTGGGCGTGTTGCTGAAAGTCTCTGAGCCCGTTTCCTCACCCACAAAATAGGATTCATATCACATATCCTACATGTCTCATGGGTATCACGGGATTGTGGCCCTTTCACTGCACCCCTGTGCTTCATGGTCCTGGTGACATGACCAGCTCTGAAGCACATGGCGACCTAGAACTTGGTTGAATGATTGCCAACAGGACTGTGAAGAAAGCCGAGATTTGGGGAAGAAAATATGTTTACAATTAAGAGATCATGGAGAACCAGGAAGAGGTGGAGGAGGAAGTAGGTAAGTAAGATCTGGAATTCAGATATGAGAAAGTTAAGTCATCTGAGGCCTGGACAGATCCTCCTTGGAACTAAGATCTCAACATCCAGATCAGAACCAGAACTTCTGTTCATGAATCTATAGCAGAAAAATAGCTTATTTTTAAAAGAGAAATGAAATAATTTTATTAGTGAATATCAGTTTTACAGACTAGTGGGTTTTGTTTTGTTTTTTTGCTTGTTACAGTAATTCTTACAGAATGCCTAAAGACTTCATTTGAAATTTCTTGGATAGCACTTTAGAGAGATCTTTATCATCTAAATCCTCTCCCAAAAGCCTAGGAAAATAAGGAAATGATTTATGAAATGTTCTATGAATGTCTGTAATATCTATGATTGTGTTTACGGCCACAATTCAGTACCATTTCTTTGAGCTCAGTGAGAATTTACTGGAGTGAGAGTGCCCTGTACCTGAGTACAGGTGGACTCAAGAGTGTGTGAGTAGTGTCTTGTCTGCTTTGTAGAGGCACTGTCACAGAAGGAGCAAATGCTGTTTAAGAAACAAGAGCCCTGGTTTTGTTCTGAATTAGCCAACCATTAAACTATAGACATTGGGCCAGTGAGTATCTCCAGGTCCCCCCCGCCCCCATAGTAAATAAGGCAAATCTAAACCTGGAATTTAGATAATTATTTTTCAATTTACATGATAATAAAAAGATGCCAGTCCGTAGATTTTACTTTAAAATTGATATCTCAACTTTGTTTTAATTGGTGTTTCCGGGGCAACTTGTAATTTCTACATATCATAGTTTGATTTCAACATTACTAAAATGTAATTATAAATTATATATGTCAGGAAATTGATCTGAAATTATACCAACTACATTAAAAATGGAAATTTGTTACGAGTAAAAATTAATAATGAGGATAGTTAAGTTCTGCGCTCTAAAGAATTTCTTTCTTTTCAGTTTTTATTTGTATTAGTACATGTTTACGGTACATAAGGTCTACATTCCTCATGAAGAGCTGGTCCACGTCCATCGTACATCTTAATTCTTTTCTCATTCCCTTCCCCTTCCCTCTCTTCCCTCTCCCTCCAGTTCTTGGTCTCCTTCCCTTTTGCAAAAGAGCTATCTCCCTATTTCCTATCATTTATCTTTTATTTAGCTCTTTGTTTTTATTTTGAGTTGCTCCGTAAGAGGCACTATGCAATATTTAAACTGTATGTCTGATTTATTTCATTGTATAAAATTTCTAATTGACAATTTATAACTTCAAACTCCCTCATCCACTGTGACCTACTAACTGCAGGAATTAAAACACCATGACTCATTGCCAAGTGAGCAGGCCACTGCTTTTGAAAATATAGCTGTGTTAAAGGGGCTGGGGATTTTAGCTCAGTGGTGCCGCTGCCTGCCTCACAAGCACAAGGTCCTGAGTTTGATCCCTGGAACAAAAAACAAACAAATATATAAACAAACATATATATATATATATGGCTGTGTTGGAACACTTATTTGTTCACATATTGTCTGTATCTGCTTTAGTTCTACAACAGCACACTTATGTAATTGCAACTGAGCTCATATAGCCATTAATCCTAAAACATTTACTATCCAGTCCTTTACAAAAGTAAAAAAGTTTGCCACCTGGTACCTTGGTCAGAAGTCCTCCTCTAGAGGCAAAAGTCTGTATCTCTGCAACTCACATTTAGAGCCTCACTTGTTTAGCCAAGTGATACCCTCTGAAGCTTCTATTCCTGCCAGGCTATTCCAGCCCCATTCCTACTTGCTGAAGGTGAAATATGCTCCTACCCTTCCAACATATGGCTCACGCACTGAACCTAATTAATATACAACTATGTTATGTTAGTACATATGTTAATGTTCTCTCCATCTTTGCTTCTCAAATTGTGTCCATGAATCCCAAGGATCTACATCTGGGAGTTTGTTAAAACTGCAGAATTTCAGACCCCAACTCATGCCAACTGAATCAGAATTTTTCCTTGAAAAGATATCCAGATTATTTGATGCCTTTCTCTAGAGCAGCACATCCAATAGAATTTTTGTGATGATGGAAATGCTCTCTACTTGCAGTGTCCGATATGATAGCCATTAGCTAGGTGTGTCTGTTGAGCACTTGAAATGTGGCTAGTGAAACTGAGGAATTGAATTATTTTTATTTAATTTTAATTAACTTAAGTTTAACTATCATATTAAAGAGTGCAGCTCTATGCTGTACCCTCAGAAAAATGTCCAGGTGGAACTCATATCTCACTTCTACAAGACACCAGAGTCACCTGGTGCACTTCAGCATCTGCCTGTGTTCTGAAGACGATCTGCCTTATGAGACAGTACCGGGTTCTATGGCTAGGATGCTAAAGGTTTCCATAAGAGACATTGCAAGGACATTGACAATAAGAACTCAAGCCCAAATCTTCCCAAAGTGCCTACTGATTCCAGGTAGGAATTGAGACACAAAATCAGATCTAAGGAGCTATTTAACCCAGAGGGAGCTGCAATACATCTGTTAAACTGGTACATCCAAACAAAGGAACCAGTCCACAAGGCAAATTCTTGAAGATTCAGGCCTATTCCCTTACTCTAACCACACAGGGTTGTGGACCTGAAGGTCTATAATTTTTTTAAGAATAAGTAAATGGTTTGTGTTCCTGAGGTTCTCAAAGGGTGAGGAACTTACACAAGGCTATGCAAGGAGTGGGCAGAAAAGTAAGATTAAACCTCAGTTATCTCATAACCTCATAGATGCAGCATTTTTACCTAGAGACAGGGCAGGGAAAGACCTTCCTGTCTAGTCTGGCTCCAAATCTATATCATTGAGACTTGGACCTGTGCATCTATTCTCTCCCCTGTGCTCAGTGGTTTACCTGCCATGTCTATGGTCTGGGAGCTGCTGCTGAAGAAAGCTGAGGAACACCCCCAAGGTGCCTTCCTGTTACCTCCCTTGGCTCAAACTCAGTTTCCTAGGAGAGCTCTGCCTATCATAACCCAGTATATTAGTTTCCTAGGATTCCCATATCTAATTGCACCAACCTTGCTAGCTTAAAACAACAAAAATATATTCTTTATAGTGCTGGAGGCCCAAAGTCTGAGAGACCAAGTGTCCACAGGGCTACACCCCCTCCAAAGGTTCTAGAGGAGAAGACACCTTACCCCTTCCAGCTTCAAGATGGCTCCTGATGTTCCTTGGCTTGTGGTAGCATAACTCCAAGCTCTAACTCTATCTTCTTTTTGAGACGGGGTTTCACTAGGTTGAACAGGCTGGTCTTGAACTTCTAGGCTCAAGTGACTTTCCCAAATAGCTGGAACAAGAGGTATGAACCTCCACTCCCAACTTCTGCCTCCATCTTTACATGGTCTTTTTCTCTATGTGTCTCTGTATTTTCTCCTCTCCTATCTCTTAAATAGCATCTACTGTCATTGGATTTAGGGCCCCTCTTAATTCAGAATGATCTTTTGTTTAGGTTCTTATCTGCAAAGATTTTATTTCCAAATAAGATAATTTCATAAGTACTGAAGTTTAGGACTTGGACAGGCCTTTTTGTGTCTACTGTCCAACCCATTACATGCAATGTCCAATGTCCTTTCCAAATAGCCCCAGTGCCTTCTCTTCTGTGAGTGTCGGCCTCTTTCTTTCCTGGTATTGTTCTTCCTGTCCCTTCAGAAATATTTCAGAGGCTGTACAAAGCTTGAGCCCTGGGGAAAGGAAGGAGGGGTCAGCTGGAAAATCCTTTTGAATGGCAATGTGGGGTAATGCTCTTTTTTTTTCCCAACCCTGCAATCCTGCCTCCCATGCTTAGCCTTTGTTCCAAGGCACAATGGCATCTAGAAAGGAACCCTCTTTACCACCTCATCAGCTTGGTTCCAGTTCTATAATCCTCACTCATCATATTTCTATACCCACCAGGAGAACACCTAAAGAACGTTCCAGAGTCAACCATATGTTAATTGTTTTCCAGTATCTCACCCATGCTCTATCCACTGAAACTAAGTTCCCAGTCCCTCAAAGAGTGACCTATGTGGTATATATGCAGACTATAAGTGGGCCAAGATTAGACCCATGATCTGGGAAACAGCCATAATTTAGGTTAAGCCAATCAGACTACTATCAAGAGAATACAAACTAAGAAGTTCAGGTACCCACAGATTGAATGGGGATGGGCACTGGCTGTGAGGTCTTGCACCCCTTAAATGCCTGGCCATGCTGAGCTGGCAGACGTTAGGCCATGTGGGGGCAAAGGAAGCCTAATGGCACTGGAGCAGATGTACAGAGATGTTGGGAGCAATGCTACATAATTCTAGGGAAAATCATTTGAGTAGGCCTAGTTCTCCTGCCTACAGACCAGTTACGACATTCCAGACATAATTGCATTTTGGCCTGGGTCACAACTGAGACCTCAGTGATCCCTGGATGCTGTAATGCTCCAGGACAAGATCACACCTGTGGGAGATGCCAGAGAGGAACGAAATCTTCATCTACATACTTCCTCATTGTTCTTAGATTTCCACTGTCCCCCAGTCTTTTTACACCTTGTTTATCCCAATGTAAAGTAATGAGCTCTGCATTTTCACTTGTTACATCTGTTTCCCCATGTACTGAATAAAAAGTGCTGCAAGCTAGGGGGCTTTTGTCTTTGCTGCCCAGAGCAGCACTGATCAGATCCAAAGCTCAGCTTCTTCTCATTTGTCTACCTTTCCTATAATTCGCCGTGTGCTGCCTTGGCTCGCAGGAGACTAGGACTTACTGCAGAGGTTCTAGTAACATCCCCTTCCCCTGTTCCCTACACAGAGAGCTCTCGACACTGCAAGCTCAATAGCAGGAGAGAGAGAAGAGGGTGGTACCTGGTAACTGCCCACTGTCCTCAAGGCCCTGCTGTACTTCTTTTTTTTTTTGGTACCGGGGATTGAACTTGGGTCCTTGCGCTTGCACAGCAGGTGGCGAAACCGCTGAGCTAAATCCCTGCCCTGTCCATTTATTTTCTGTTTTTCTTTCTTAACTCAAGCAAGCACGAATGAGTTTCCATTCTTTACAACCAGTTATCAAAGATATTTCTTGTTTATAATTGGTCATTCCATGAAGACTAACCCAATGGGAAAAGTTATTTTATAAGGAACAGGCATTCAAAAAGTAGGTATGAGAAGAATAAATAAACAAGAGAATAAGATCACAGTGACCAAACTGTTCTGAAGCCAAGATTCCTTCTCCCTGTAATTTTTACATGTGTTGGCATTGTGATTTACAAATTGATTGCTTGTAAGTTTCATCAATTCAAATTATTGCTCCCACTCAAGAGCATGATCACTCATGGATGAGTGTTTCTGAATCTGGAATTTGAGGTGACAGCCACAATAATCCAAGGACTTGGTTACAAATCTTGGCCACCCTGCACATTCTCACTACATCTGCTGCTGGAGGCTCTGCCAAAGATAGCTCAGGAAAACAGGGAGGAGGGTAAGGCATGTTGTACTTGAGTTAAGATAAAACTGACCTACAAAAGTTCAGATTTAGATTTTTGTATTTGGTTAAGTGTGTTTTGAGGGTGCATCAGGGATGAGGTGCCCATGATAACATTTTACCTGTTCAACATCTTTCCTTTTCCTCCCCTCACCATAAATGAGGAGGCTAAAGATTCACAGGAACTATCCAACAGTGGCACTATTAGTACGTATATAAGTTAATATTGTCCATTTTTATGAAGGAGGTTGAATATCTGACAAAAATGATTCAGAAACCTTGTTTTCTATAACATTAAGAGGCATGTGGGAAACCCCTCTTTGAATTGTTATCTTTTTGTGCCATTTTCAAAGTTAATATATTGGGCAGGGAAAGGGGCAGAAGGAGCTGGATTCTTCATCTCAAACTTTTCAATGTGACATTACACAACCATGCGATATTCATTAAGCTCTCTGTCACAGGGAACTTACAGAATGTCAATAAATTTGCTAAGACTTTTTTGGTTTAAATAATTCTATTATTAGCCTAACTGCTATAATTGAATTTTTCCCCATTTTCCCTTAATAGTTAGTTATATGCGTCTTTCCATGGAAATTCCTTGGTCTCACCGGAAGTCTTAAGAAATATGATTTGATGAAAAAAATCACAGAAAAAAATTTAAAACGTAGGTTAAAATCTTTTCCTTAAACTCTAAGTTTCTTGATATGTAAAATTATGTCAAAGCCTACTTATTAATGTTATCAAGAAGGCTGGATGAAATAGCATTTTTCTGTTGTCTCAACCTGTTGTCTGTAACCTCTAATTACAATTTCTCAGGTACCTTTTAAAAATAGGAATTCCTAGGCCTTGTTCTAGTCAAATTGACTCAGACTTGTCAAAAACACAGATTGAGCATCAGGGTTTTTTTAATGTCTCAAGTTTTAGAAACTTTAAGCATCAAGCACAAAGGAAAAGCAAAGGCCTATGCCTTAACTGCTAACCTGAGAATTTTAGGAGGGAAAAATTGTGTGTATATTCGGTATAAACTAATTAAGTAACCTATAATCTACTAGGATCTGGCAGCCAATGAAGTTGAGTAGCTAATCCCATCTGTATGTTGGCTAGCAGGATTGTATCAAGTAGCAATTTCAATTGACACTGATTATAATCAGTGATGTAATTTCTAGTTGTTCCACTTTAATTCTCCTAAAATTACACCAGGAAACTGGAACATCATGACCTATTCCTGATCAAAGGACATAGTTGGGATGAAGCCTCTATGGATACTTCCCTCCCACTGAGGTCAAGGGGCATATTCCTTTACTAAATCTGGCATTCTCTTAACATCCAAGATGGTCAATTTAAAATCTCACACAGCTTGAGTGTAGGTGGATTTCTGATTCTGTGGATGCTGCTGAAAATAGTTGAAGCTCCCACATTAGACATCAAATGAAACTTTGATGCTGTCTTCACTTTCCTACTTAGTCTGTGGCATAACAGATAAACAGATAAACTCATCTTGGATTTGAAATGAGTTATCCATGAGCTTTTAGTGTAGTAACTCACAGTCAGACTTCAGTCTGGTTTTAAGATTTTTCTGAATAGTGTGTACTTTCCATTCTTCAAGGTGCTTCTAGTAAATAGGTTACACAAAAGGGAAACAAATTGTGAGTTTTGAGGAAAATGCTCTTCCTCTAATTATAGAAAGAAATGAAAATTCAATCCAGTTTGTTAGAAATCTCTATTCATCTCTAGTTATGTACCCACCCACACATGTAGAGTATGAGGTGTCCAGGCCTTGTTTTCTCCCTCTCTCCCTCCCTCTCTCTCTCTCCCTCCCTCCCCCTCCCTCCCTCCATCAATCTCTCTCCTTACCTCTTTCTATCCTCCCTCACCAAGCCAATAGTTCTTTCTTTTTAACACCCTTGAATACTGATTTCCTGTATGTACTTGTGCAAAAGCCTAATTCCAACAGTGAAGTTTAGGCTTAAGGTTCACTCATCCTCTGCACAGAAGATGTGATTCACAAAATGGTATACTTTACGTCTTGAACATGTTTAGATAAAATATAAAAGTAAAAACAAAGTTATTACTAGAAGTATTCATCCCCTACTAACAGTCAGTATAAATAAATATAGAATCGTTTATTTTAAGTGAAGAAATGATGTCATAAAACAAGTTATTTTCACCACTTAAGGGAAATAAATGCCAGAGTTTGAGTGTCCTAAAACTAATGGTTTTATAATTTCAGACGCTAGAGTAACATTGTGTTTATGTAGGTTTTATCACAAAGCACTTGGCAAATTATTTTACACACTCTTAGTAAATGGATTTATGATCAAATGGATTTTATTATGATACATATACCATATTATTCTCACATTTATTTACTAAAGGTATTACTGTTAAATTAGGGATTTAGCTCAGTGGTTTCGCCACCTGCTGTGCAAGCGCAAGGATCCGAGTTTGATCCCTGGTACAAAAAAAAAAATTACCTTATCAAAACCCTTGTTTCCCTACAAACATTGCCCATGCTTTCACCTTTGTCCCAGTGCTTATAAAATGATTTTCTTTACTTTTTTTTTTTTTTTGGTACCGAAGATTGAACTCAGGACCTTACGCTTTCAAGGCAGGCAGCAGAACCACTGAGCTAAATCCCTGGCCCCTAAAATGATTCTATTTTGAGGGAAGAAACAAAGGGGGAATGATGGAGGGAGGGACAGAAGGAAAAGGAAGGTTGAAAGAAGTATGTCACTGGGGGAAAGGCTTTGAAGGGTGTAGCTCCTTCCCCACCTCTTCCCTTCTCTCTTTGCTATCATAACGTGAGCAGCTTTCTTCTACCATGCCCTTCCACCATATTTCTTCCTTGGAGCCAGATGCCTATGGACTGAATGCACCAAACCATGAGCCAATATAAATCTTCTCTTTTTAATTGTAGGTGTCAGGTATTTTGTTCCAGGGACAGAAAAGTTACTAAAATGTTTCTAATCCTCTTATCTCTATGATTATCTTAAATAATGACAAGCTCAATATTTTAAACAGAGAAAAACATTTTAAAATATTGTATGTTTTTAAAAACTGTATGCTTATAGAGCTCAGGCACCAGGCCAAAGGAATGAGGAAACTATTAAATGGGAAAGATTCAGGCACTACTCTAATGAAGTTAACAACTAAGTGTAGGAAACAGATTTTAATAAATAATAACAAATTATTACTTAACTCTACAGTTATGAGGAATGCTATGAAGGAGGTACGGTGCTCTAGGAGTGCATAATCGGAGGGTATGGGCTACCCTGGGAATCATAGAAAGTTGCTTTAGTAAACTGCTATTTGGGCTAAGTTCTTAAGAATCTATACTTACTGGGCAGGTAAAAAAGGAAGAATAAAAGTATTCCAAATAAGGCAATGTCTTGGAGCTGGGCAGAGGTTAGTAAATAAGAGACCACAAGAAAGTCCATGCAGCTTGAGTAAAAAAACAAGGGAAAGAAAGCTCCAGAGGAGGCATACTAGAGAGTTAGATAGGAATCAAATCTTGGAAGACCTTAGGTGGCAGTGATGGACATTAGTCAAATAAGTAACATGATAAGACTTACGTTTTAAGAATATTCTAGTTGCTCTGGGGAGAATGGATTGGAGACTGGGGACAAGACTAGAAGAAAAGAGAACAGTTAGACTACTATTGGTCCAGGAGGGAGATGATGATGAGTAAATCCATGGAGGGAGCTGTAAAAACAGGAAAGAAGGATTTGTTTTATACTTAAGAAATGGAAACACCAGAAACAAATGTTGATTTTACTAACTTTCATTCATTCATATATATATATATATATATATATATATATATATATATCCCCAATCTACATTATATAGAAATCCTAATCTTCCTATTAATGTGCGTGCATATGTGTGTGTGTGTGTGTGTGCGCGCGTGCGTGTGTGTGCTGGAGTCAGTCAATGTTATGATTTCGATCTAGAATGTCCCCCAAAAGCCTCATGTGTTCAAGGCTCGGCTTTTGGAAGGTGATTGGATTGCAGGAGCACTATACTCAGCAGAGCTGAATGGACTGCTAGGAGGTGGCATCTGGTTGGGCGAGGTGGGGCCCTGGGAGCATGAACTAGAAGAGTGCATCTCCCTCCCCAGCTCCTCTCGTCCCTCCTGTTTCCTGGCCACCAGGACATGATCAGCTTTTCCTCTGCCTAGAGCCTTCCACCACACTGCCTCTGCCTAGAGCCAGCAGGCCGTGTGAGCCAAAATAAACCTCTACTCTTTTGTCTCAGCACTAAAAACTGACTAAGACAGGTAATTATTTAACTTTTCTCCAAGGAATGGCCACCAGGTCCAGTGTCAGCTCTGGACTTCCATCAAGAAGCCTTTCTTTTTACTCATAAAGGACTCTAATGGGTAGATGGCTAGATGCTAAATGGACAATTGCACTCAATTCCAACAGAAACACTGAAAAAGTAAATTACAGTACATACTCTGATGACCACAGGCAGCATTACATTTGGGCAGAAGAAACAACCAGTATACATGAATACCAATAAATATTCTTATCTAATATGGTTGAAAATGAAGAAGTCTATTTTATCAAATATAAACTACCAGCTTTCCAAAAATGAGTATGTAACAAAACTTTATAACTTAATCGCCCCCAGGACTTGGGAGAACACAGCTCTACCAAGTTCTTAGCATGTGAATATCAAAATTTACTTTTAACTCTCTGAACTTAATTTGTTGTATCTGAAACATGGAGCTGTGGCCTATTTCAAGAAAACCTTCTGATACTTAAATAAGATAATATGTTACCTCAGGAAGTATATTTAAATTATATTAGAAACTATTCTGCCATACAGTAGATATAAAAGAAATGATAGTGAAGACTTTTATCCTAAGAATCATCAATGTGAATATTAATAATCATGTTATAACTTTTTAAGCTAGCTGACATTTCAGTGGACCATGCTGAATAACTCATCTGTACTATAGTATGCATTTTCAATCCTATGACACTTGACAATGACTAGTCTTGAAAAGTTAGAAACTTGGTTATTAAAGCCACATTTGTGGTACGTAGCCATGAGTTCTGTACATGTCCTCATCTTCCTTAAGGAATCTTTAGAATTCTGATTTACATCTTTGTATTTTTATGAACATCAAACTTATCAAATATTATCAATTTGTGGAGCTCATGTAATGCTAAAAAAAGTTCCTACCAGAAATTATGCTAAGTGTGTTCTTCTGAAAGGATAGAAGAGGTCTGAACAAGGTTTTCCCAGTACTGATCGCTGTATCTGATGGAAAGATATTCTTGTATCACTAGTCAGCTTACACAGTTAAGATGACAAGTGTACTGAAGTATCTCTTTAGCTATGCCACTATGAGACTTGTTTAAAGCACATATATTTATCCAAGTTAAGCAAAAATAAAAACATATAATGTTTATCTATATTTTGAGGTATAGATTTTTTTATGCCAGCTTCAAGTAAAATGTTTTTAAAATAAGAAAATGTAAAAATATTTGAGGGTATTTTTAAAAATAAGCTTATATTTTATCATTCCTTCATGCTTTATCCTAAGATTACTATTTCCACACTATTGATTATAAATAGTAAAAATATAATAACATATTACATAATATAATCCAATTTTTTAAAGAAGAAAAAAACTAATTTTAACTAGAATACATATCTTTTTCATAAAATCATTGACTAGAAGATTACTCAACAAAATAATAAACTTATTTTGAATACATGCTATTTTCCTGCAGCAATAAAATTTGGCCTCTCCCAGCCAGCTGAAGTCTATTTTCTTCCAATGATCCAGAGTTTACTTCTAATTCCTCATAGGCATCAAACCCCATGGCCCATTCTCCTGAGATTCTGGCCTGGGAGACGGTTGGGGATGGTGAACTACTCTTGAGGTAAATGTATTCTTTATGAGGCAATAGCCAACAAATATTGACCTCCCTAGAGGTGGCATCATGAACACTGCTCCACTGGAAGAGTTCTAGTAAATGACGCTGCTGGAGCCTCAGACAGTATGGCAGGCCAGCGGTAGCACTACTTTGAGCCACGCAGATAACTGTCCAGTTCTGAAGAATATACTGCCTTCCCCTGCAATGTGAGTAGACCTTCATCATCTTTAAGCCTGAACTGTGTACTTTCTCCCTCTCACTCAACCCGCCTGCGTCCTGTCTTACAAAGTGCAGGCAATAACTTTATAGAGATGATTCCTCAAGTCTCTTTCTCTTTTTCTAGCTTTAACCTGTATGCTCCAGCATCCAAAGTGCCTACTACCTACTGAACCTTCCCACTTAGAAATCCTGCTGGCATTTCAAATTTAACATATCTAAAGTAGAACTCCTCTAACTCCACCTCCATTGCTCTAATCCTTTATCTTAATTTGTTTTCTATGGTATCTTAATTTTTAAGGGAGATAATCTCAAGACTCTACACTTATCAACTCCTCCCTTTTTCCTCTTTCTATTACTTATACAGTTAGCTGCCAACAGCAAAGCATTAATGCAAGTCAAGTATGGAGAAGACAAAAGCACACCCCTAATGAGCTCAGGGCTGGTCAGACTCCAAATGGAATACTGTTTCTAACTCTATCTATCCTCATGTTAAGAAACAATGTGACAAATTTAAAACCATCTAGATAATGGTAAATATTCAGAAACAGTATCAGGTGGAAATATACTGGTTGTCATAGAGAAAATAAATATTATTATTATTTAGACACCAAAAGTAGCTGTCAGAGCAATCACCAAGAAACAAATTTTCAAAGCAAATATCTAGAACTGACTATAGGGTACATGGACTTCCAACTAGATTAAAAATTTAAAAGAACTATGTTGTTGCAATTCCTTAAGAAATTTCTTAAGAGAACGTTGTATGGTCAATTCCAACCCCTTCATTCCCAATCCCAAACTTAATGTGTGGCCTTCAGTGTAGTGAGAGGGTTTGAGCAATATGAGTTCCCTGCATCTGAAGTACAGAGGGATTAGGGCCTGATTTTGGATATTTATAGTGTTCTGTGGATGCCTAGCAAATGGCTACATAGGAAGTAACAGTACTTGTGTCAAAATTAAGGTCAAAGGGACTACACCTGTAAGCAGTAGAAACTCAACCTCAGGTTGTACTGAAAAGTATTCTGACCAAGGAAGTAGCCTGCCAAGGTGAGGGTCCCCAGCAGTAAGAGGTAATTATGTGTGCAATCAGGGCCTGTAAAAGAGAGAGAGTTTGTTGAAGGAGAGGCCTTGTCTACACTAAAGGAATGGCTGAAGTGGACCCAAAAGGGAACTTCTAAATCCTTGCTACTCAAAGCATGGGCCCATGAACTAAGGCCATGGACATCATCTAGGAACTTATTAGAAATGTAAAATCTGACACAGTTCCAGGCCTACTGAATCAGCATCTGCATGCTAATACGATCTCTACGTATTTCATGTGCACATTAATCTCGGCTACTTAGGACCCAGTTTAGGGTGGTATCAGTTGACTAAGAACTTTGCTATTCCCCCGCAACTTTGCTCTCTCTCCATGTTTGGGAGCAGCAGTTGTAGAGGTGAGGCAATGAGCAATGAAAGAGCAGAGAGAGACACCTGCCACACCCTCCAAGGTCAAAAGCAGGAGGACAGACTATAGCAAAAGGCTTAATTCTAGGGAAAACTGAAGAATCACTAGTTTGATGGGAAACTTTAAATCACTGAGTTATTTCACTGATTACCACTCAAGGTGAGATAAAACATTTCATTTCCTGAGATTGACCAGAAATGTCATGGACCTACACAGCAGGGCGCAGAGCACAACCTGTGAACAGGCTCAAAGGAAGTGGGATACAAAAGGGAAGATGCTGCTTGAAGGCTATTAGTGGGGCCATTCCATACAGGTAACTCTAATCTCTTCAGAGCTGGATGACTAGCATGTTTTAAAAAAGCACTGAGAATGGTCAACTGGCAGATATTACTAAGAGAGATTTTGGTTGGCAGAGTATAAAAATCTTCTAAAATTGCTAATTATTTCTAATAATAAAAGAAATGCACCTTATCATACAGAGTGATTCTTTCCTTATTTAGTGAGGGCTATGGAGAGGCAAAAGTGATCCTCTGACCCTTGATGTTATATTGAGACCCTCTCCCCTGGGTAGAAAATTAAGGGTTACGTCAACTCTAAGGGTCTAATTTGTACTGTAATACAGTTATGCCCTCAGAGATTATTAAAGTCCAGGAAACTGAGCGCCTTTTTATTAGTAACCAAAGCTATTACCTGGGCTCCCTTTTTGTATCTATGGCTCTTTGCATCTTTCTAACTCTTCCTTTTTTGATGTCAGCTTGTCAGCTCTTAGATCTCACTTGCTTCCCATTCATTCTTAATCTGCTCTAATTGTCTGTGGGCTGCAAAAACATATGGCCAAGCTTAGGAGAACTGTGTACAAACAAAGTAAAAAAATTCTGCCTGTAATATCCCTTCCTATAGACAATTTAGATTTTGTGACCTCCATTTGTCATTCAAAGGTCTTCTCCATTTCCACACTAGTTCTGGGAAATGTGTCAAATAGGCAAGGTAGGTAGGCAGAGCAGTCAACAATGTCATCACCTTGTACATTCAGCAGACCTTGAAGTGGTAGTTTAAAATGCTAGAAGCATCCACCCAGCACAGGTAGTTCAATGTATACCACAGATCTCGGTGCAAATTCAGATTCTACTCCTAATAGCTAGAGGTCCTTGACCTCCAGGGAATTCTTCTTCCCATCTGTGAAAAGAGGCATTAATACTTATTTTGCAACATCGTGGAAACTCAATGAGTCAGTGTTTGTGAAATACCTGGCGTATATGTGGACCCAGCAAGTTTTCCATTTCCTTTCCCCATTCCACTTTAACTCTTGACACTATAGTTTATGAAGGGCATCAATAAAGCAAAGTACTTGTTGGAAATATGCGAACCCGTGTCACATGGTGAGCACTTCAAAGACCTAGCACAGAGAGATTGATGACGGAAGAGTCAACTTACTGGATGGATGAGATGTAAAGAGAATTTCTTCTCTTTATATCCGGTTTCTATTCTGAGCTCTCCATCCACACCGACACCACTTCTTCACAGGTATTATTGTATCTCCCTGGGCCACTGCAGCCACTTCCATACTGGTCTCCCTGACTATATTCTTGCTCTAGCTGCCTCCAGGCCATTTTTCAGACTATATTCAAATGTTTACACTTTTTTAGCCCCTTTTAACAAAATCCAAGCTCCTTAATACGTTAAGCTCCTTAATGACTCAGCTTTGTTTCCTGTTACCTCAGTGGTCTGCTGCTCACTACTAGCCCCTACACATACCTCACATACCTCATGTTCAGCAAAACCAAACCATGTGACTGCCCATAGCGACTCTCATCTGTCTCACTGTCTTCATGCCTGTCTGCCTGAAACATCCTCCAACTTGCCCATGGGCAAAATGCTTAAAGTTGAGTCATCTGGGTTCTGTCTTCTGCCCTACTTTCTATCCACAGAATTAATCACTATCGATACATTATATTTATAATTTACCTATGTGCCTCTCCTTCTTCACTGGGTGCTTCCTCACCATACACATGCTAATTGAATCTCTAATCCCAGTACTATACCAGGGAGACAGGAGGAAAACACTATAGCACCTGGAATCTTAGGCACAAGTAGAGCTGCCAGAAGGATGCTCAACATTCACCTTACCACAAAGGTGCCTTCTACCTCCAAGATTCACTCTATGCAGGTTATTATTATAGCTTGTTAATATGCCATCATCTCTAAATCTGAACCACTAAGTTCCCTGACTATGATACCATGAAGTGGAAGGATTAGGCTAGAATACAGCTTCTCAAATTTAGTAATCACAAGATTCAGCTGGGAGTCTCATTAAAACGGAGATTCTGATTCAAAAAGTCTAGCTGGGGCCTGAGATTCAGCATTTCTAACAATCTCCCAGATGTTTCTGATTAGTAGATCATGTTTTGGGTGGCAAGGAACGCTGGGTTTGGAGGTTGGGTTTAGGGAAAAACTGAAAGAGAATAACTAAGGTAAACATTTTAGAAACCTATGCCAAGAAGAAAATCAGTTCAATTATGATATTAGTGATGGAGAAATGGAAACTTCTTCTCAAAAATGCTTTTTGTATATGTAAAATCCTATCTATTTTATTCATTAGGTACAATTGTATAAGAAAGCTATTAGATAGTTAATACACTGAATAAATTATTTATTTCACATAGACCTACCAATTTTTAATATATACAGATAGATTTTTTAAATTTCTTTTTATTTTTTATTATTATGCACATGTTGGCAGTAGATAATGATTACATTTCTTGTGTGGAGCTGGTGCATATACATAACACATTTTAATTCCTTTTTTCATCCCCTTTCCCTCTCCTCCCCACTCCCTCCATGTCTTGATCTCCTCCCCTTAGAGAAAGGTCTATCTCCCTACTTCCTATTAGCTACCTTTTATTTTGCTCTTTATTTGTAATTTGGACTTCTTAAATAAGAGATACCACATGATATTTAAACTCATGTGTCTGATTTATTTCACCTAACATTTTGGTCTCAAAAATGGGATTTTAATGTCACATTTCAGAAATCCATCTACTGAGTTAAGCAGAAAATGTAAATCATGTATATGATCAGTAGCAAGCAAATTTGTTAAAAAGTGCTTCGGTTGATTGATTTAAATAATTCATTTCAAGGAGTTGACCAAACTGTATGTACAAGCAGCAATTCAAAGAGACTGAAATGCTGGGGAGAGGGGGTTACTAAATGATCATTTTCAACCATTAAAGCATTTAATGTGGCTAGAAAAAGAAATTAAATGAATTGCTTGTTTTCAAAAAAGAAATAGAACTGTATCACTTTAGAGGTTTCTATGGTTTTACTACTTTTGCTATTAATAAATACATAAATATGGGTTTTGAAACACAATGGACACTAAATAGGAGAAGAATAACAGAGGTTCACATAATTTTTAAATGAAAAAATTTAGTTTCTGCTCCCAAGGTCAATGACTCATAAATAGGAATGCTCTAGACCTAGAAAATTCTTGGAGAGGTATGAAGAGGGAGATACCAAACGGGCAGGGAATGTATAACTTACAAGGCTAGAAAGACGGTGGTGCTTGTAAAACTATCCAAAAAGTAAGAGCCCATGGTAGTTTCATTATAATATTTCTATTAATTAACCCCTATAGAAAACACTTCTATGAAACCAGGGCTGACGCAAGACTTTTGTCAGTAGCACTAAGTCATAAATAATAGCATTTATACAAATGGATGTAGAAACTCAGAACCATAGCCAAGGAACAAAATAAACATTGTATGGGAAAATGTCGCATGCTGCCATCTCCCATCAGCAGCAACTGTGAAATTCTTCATCAAAATACATGTACTTTCACATTGTTCTGAAAAATGAGTTGTAAGAAAACGTTAGTATTGTTCTCTTCCTACATGAATCAACTGATCCCACAACCCCTTTCTACTCAAGAAGAAGGCACTGTATTTGTTTATTCCACAGAATCATGTATATTTTTTACAGTGTTCTGTTGACCTCCACAAACATTCATTATGGGATTCCAGACTAAAAGCCCCTCCTGGAGCTGAACTATACAGTTCTCTATATGGCCGTAATGAATTCTGTCACAACAATGCCAACTGTGCTTCTGTTCCAAGATTCTGTCATCTTTGTTGAAAATCCTCCAACCCTAGGGCCAGGCAACAATGATTATTTCTAAAGAGATTGACTTCACTTAATAGCTTCTTGACAGATGAAAACCCTAGGAACATTTACATAAGATCACATGAGATCTGAACCAAAGATTGCACCAAAAACACATGATTACACAAAAATGATTAAGAAAAAAAACAATAAAAATAAGAACTTTTTGTCCTAATACAAATGCAAATCAATCTCTTTGGTTTTTCTCTATTATCTAAGTGAGGAAATTGGAATCTCTTTTTAAAAAGATTTGTTCCCAGAAAAACATACATCAAAATAGGGAAAATATGAGCCCTGGTCCTGCCTCCTGGAATGTGGTGCTTTCGTGTGTCATATTCTTTTCCCCTAGAAAATGTGAGTACATTTTACTTTTTGGAAATGTTGTTGTTGTTGTTGTTGTTGTTGTTTTCTGAAGAGATTATCATGAGCCTTTGCCACTCTCAGGAACAGGCAGTAGGGTGAAAGTTTATTAGCCTTGTTCTTTGCAGACAACTAATGAGGTCAAAACCCTGAATACAATTCTGGGAGAGAGAAGGAAAGCTGAGATTAGAGCTTTATAGTCTGATCCCTCTTGCATATGTGAACATCCAAGCTGTGGTTCTCAAACCTATCTGGACATATGAATCACTGTGCCTCTCAGCAAAGTGGTATTGAATCAGTTTAGTATGACTGGATGAATCTGGTTTATTAATCCCTGTCCCTGTAGTACTGTTGCCTGCACGCTGTCTGGGTCTCTCTTAGGGAAACTACAAACTCATTCCTCTGTCCAAAATTGCACAAGTTGGGGAATCAAGTGACTGGGTAAGATAATAAATGCAGATCAGAGCAAAGCCATGGCCCACTGAACAAAAAAATATACAGGATGATCATCATGGAACACAGACAACATATAGGTCAGATCAAGAGGAAAATAGCTGTTACTGATTTAGACCTCAAAGTATCTATCTTCTCAGAAATGAATAATGCATTCTTCTTATGCAGTTCTTTGCCTTAAAGACTTTCCTACTAAGAGAATCCTGAGAGGGCTGTCAGTTTTATTCAGAATTGCTGCAGTGGGTTTAAGCTTTACACAGCAACAGTTCCAAGAACTGTTGGTCTAGAGGTATAAATAGAAAGCAATAATAGAAGCAATATATAGTAAGAGCTAAGGCAATGGTACTTTTAAACTACTTAAAACAACTTATTATCTTGGAGAGGGGGAAGAGTGGGTGGTAGGCTTACAATCAGAAATTTGCTTTGCTTACTTTTATCTTAGCTGCAACAATCAAAGGAAACATCTGGATTTCCAGATGTTCCTTAGAAACTCTAGTCTTAATCAATTGAAAAAGGTTGCATGTAGGAAGTTGATACGCACCTATCTTCTCCAACTATTTTACCAATGCAGCTTCATTTTTTAGAACGTGAATAGCAAGGATATCGTTATGAAAAGGAATGGCAGTTTGCAGGTAGCAGTGTGGGAGCTGGGTCAGGGTGAGGGAGAGGATGGAGCTGTGAATATCGATGGTACAGGAAGTGGCCACAGTGAAATACAGGCCTGGCCAAGAAAAAGAAGACAATGAAGAGCTGCATTTGCATCTTAGGCTGAAGTTCTTCTGAGACTTGTCGCTCCCTACATGACTGGAGGTAAGAGCTGTGGGGAAAAGGCCACAGTGAGTGAAATTGGGCCAGTGGTGCTTACCTTAGGCTGGCTTCCCCAAAATGTACCCTGGATGTGGTGCAGCACTCTATTTAGCGGTAATCTCAGCAGGAAGACAACTGGGATCCAGTTCTCTGAGAATTCTGATTCACTGAAGAGCTGGCTTCAGCACTGTCATCTGGGGGGTGAGGCAGCAGCATCATTTCCCGCCAGCTTTCCTCTGTCTTAGTTCAGGGTGGCTCTCAGGAGGTGCAATATGCAATATTTCTGAGAAAGAGAAGAAAATGAAGTTCAATATCTGTTTTCTCCTGATGAAATTCTTTCACCTGTAACACCTCCTGAGAGCAGGAGGTGCATAAGCAATCTACTTCATGTTAAAAAAAAAATCTCGTACCTATCTGTATAATAGAAATATAATATAATACAATATCATATTATATACAGAGAGAAAGAGATATTTTTGTACGATGCTAGATTGAACCAAGGCCTCTTACAAGGTAAGCACAAGTTTTTCCACTGGGCTACACTCCCAGGCCCTAATTTCTGTTTCGGAGACAGGTTTCACTGTTGCCCAGGCTGGCCTCAGACTTTTGCGCTCAAATGATCCTCCTGCCTCAGCCTCCCAAGGAGCTGGGACAAGTGCACGCCACCACAATTAGCACTGTAATACATTAAGAACAACCATAGTGGAAAATGAAAGCAACATTATTCTGGTATTTGTCTAACATAATTCCCTCACTGCTACCATCATTTTCAAATGCATGTTGATGACAGTAAAACTCGTGCTACTTAATAACAAGTTGAAAACAATAGCTAAGGATATCCTCTAGGTGGTTTCCTGCTGGAGAGGCATCTTTCCTCACATAAAGGCTGCCCTGTGCCAGGGACTTAGTTCAGTGGCACTGCACCTGCCTCACAAGCACAAGCTCCTGAGTTCGATCCCTGGTACCAAAAAAAAAAAAAAAAGGCTGCCTTGTTCTCATTTTTAGATTTTATGCTTTCCATTATTAGTTTGCAAGGGTAGCATGTATATTAAATTCCTTCCTTCTCCCCTATCTCCCTCCCTCTTTCTTCTTTCCTCTTTTATCCTTCCTTTGTTCCTCTTTTTCCTTCTTTCCTTTTTACCTCCCCTTTCTTTCCTCCCTTCTTCCTTTCCACTACTTATTTTACTTATTTATATTTCCTTTTAAATTTTTGTTACATTTGTTTCTCAGTTAAGCGAGTTGGGAAGTTAAAAATCACTCTTGAACTTCTCTGGTTTCTGGTTTCAATCTGGTTTGGGAGTGAAGATGATTCCGGGCTTCTGGCACTTTCCTGAGGCTTCGCTCTGGGGGTGTTGGAGCTGCCTCATCCGTGCAGTGTGGAGGAGAGGGGGCTGGCTGTGCTGCACTTGGCTCTCGGTGGCTGCCAGAGTTCTGGACTCTAGAGCAGGCTATTCCCGCGCTGCTGCAGCCTTAAGCCTGTGTTACCAAGCCACTTGCCAAGGCAGTTTTGGAGCTGAGACAGATAGCATGGGGAGATAAATCCAAGGAGAGGGTTCAAATAGCCCTAAGCTGTACTTGAGAGTACCCTAGAGGATGCACTGGAGGGAAGAAACCAGATATCAGATCCCCGCCAAGTGGAAATTTCCCAACACACCCCATCCACCACTAACAAATGGAAATTCTCCAAGATTCTGAACAGCTTGTAGAAGGTTGTGTCAATTAGAAGGCTACATCTTACAAAGATGGTTTACTTTGTGGAAAAATCAGATCTTTATAACCTCGCCATAACTTCCTGCAAATCCATAAGGTTTACAGGTTCCTATGATATGATCACTTCAAGTTTTTCCTGGGTATCCAGGAAAAAAGTAGTCTTAATTAACCAGAATGTGAAGAAACTTAATTATTCCATTTTATTTAATTTCTGTGGTCATAAAACTCATTTGTTTCAGTTATTTCAATTTTCATTTTTCTTACCTTACTAAAAAATCTTTTTAAGGGCCGGGGATTTAGCTCAGTGGTTTCGCCGCCTCCTGCTCAAACGCAAGTACCCGAGTTCGATCCCCGGTACCAAAAAATCATTTAGCATTTAAACTTGGTCACTCTGAACATATTTTTCACCATATACTATTTTTGATGCAATTTAGGATTATAAGTGGAATGTTAGATTCTGAGTAGACCCTGGTCTCAGCTTGTTTTGTGATGTTTTTGTTTTTTCTTTACAACTCTAGGCCATTAAAGGTTGTGGTTAGTAAGGTTATGATAACTTGAGGATTTTCTGTGGCAAGTTTCCCCTAAATTAATTTCCTCTTGCTTCTAAACTTCTTCAGAAGTGATTTTAATTAAATTCTGCCTTGGCTACAATAATTATGAAGCATCTCAGAGGCAACACATTGACTTGAATTCCATGTTGCATGTGTCTCCTTCATGTCTGCCTGCCAGGCACCCAACTCTCCCTTCTTTTCTGCCTTCCTATTTTACAAGATTTAATCCCTTCCAGTGCACTTAATACAATATGTGAGTTTGGTGGACAAACAAGAGGACCATTAAAACCATCACTGTGATGTGGAAGACTTGTCAATTTGTTTCTTTTTTATTTGTAGTTCTCATGGAAGTCTCCCCATGTCTGGAATTTCCCACACTGCCTTTTAATCTTCTGATAATGGTATTATTTTCTTCTTTTAGAAAGAAGTATTTTCTTCTTTCAAATACTGCAGTATTTTGAATATCCAGGGACAATGCTCAGCTCCGGAAGAATCTGTCCACACAAGCATGGGAAACTCCTACTTTGAAGGAAGGATGTGTTTTTATGCCTTTTATAACTTCCACTGGTGCAGAAATGGGGCATGATACCAACACGGAGTTGCACTTTCTTAACACATTTGAAACTGAGGAAAAGGTTCTTTTTCTCCCTTATTCTCCAAAAATGATATTAAAACTACAAGAAAGAATAATCTCTTGTCAGTTTACCTAGGAAATTCACAAAGCATGACAGTTTCTTTTGCTGTCCTGCAATAAGATTTAATTCTTAGGAGAAGGGACATTTCTGAGCCTATCAGAAGTCTGCCTTAGGGAAGATGGACAAAATACAATAATTCCATCTCCATTCCAAGGAAAGAAAGAATCCCCACATGGACACTTTAAAAAGCTACTTTGCCCATGAAGAGTGTTTTAAGAGTTTTCACAAGGGCAAATCAGCCATGTGGAACTTGAATTATATTTCACTTTAGAAATTATATAAAAATAGCAATGTTTCAGGTAGGATTTACTTCCAAGATTTTCACAAAAAATAGTATTCTAAATTCCAATTTCAAAAAAACTCAGTTGAACAATCTGGAAAATAAGAAAAAGAATTTTAATTCTTTTGTAAGAATTAGGACTTAACAACTATCCTAGAGAATTCTCTGGTTCTAAGCAATTCACAGATTTCAAGTTGAAAGCAAGAAAAGAAAAACTGACACATGAAACCAATGGTTGAAGCCAAGATTTCTGGGCACCAGGACACAGATGCAGAGAGAGAAATCATCAGTTTAATCACTTACTCTCCTCAAAGCTATTGTTGTATTTGTGTGTTCATATCCTATATAGTAAATATGCTTTATACAAATCCTGTGAAAGGTGTTCCAATGGCCAATAAGTTTGAGAAACAAAATAAACGCTTAAATTGACAATTTAGACATATCATTTCTTGCTAATCTTCTTAGATCTAAATCTTATGTTTGAATAGTATCAAATGATAGTCACTAGAACTGTCTAGTGTTTGAATATCTACTGTGAACTACAGTTTTCGGTAAATACTCTAAATTTAGTATTTCCTATTTATGAGTCAAATATTTCTAAATAGTCATAACGTTTAATTTTAAGTGTATGAAGGAATGTTGATATATTTTAAGAATAACTTGTAAATTTGAAAACTCCCTAAAATTTTAATTACTTTTTCCTGAATCCTAAATATCATCATGTATTGCAACTTAGAAACACTAGCAGTTTGCTTCCCAGGTCTTGAAGATAAACATTTATACCTCTGTCTCCCTGGCGCCCCTTTCTCCTGGACACTGTGCTGTCCTCCTCTCCTCATTAAATGGCTAGAATGGGAGCTGCCATAGTCTTTCCCCCTGGTTGCACATGACTGGCCCAAAGACAGTTACTAAGAAATTCTTCCATGAGCTTTTTCAGACTGAAACAGGAGGAAGAGGAACCTACTCTGTAGGTTTCTACTCTGAATTTCTACTCTGAAATTACATCTACCTCCTTCGATTCTGTACCCCTAGTACCTAGCTCAGAATCTGCTCAGTAAATATGTCTGAAACAAGAACTTGTGAACACATGAGCAAACAAACCCCTGAGCATTTTTGGATAAAGGGGACGGTAACTAAACTTGGGACTTGACCCAGGTGCCTTGACTGGAAAGAGGAAGGAAGTGTGTGCATTGAGAAAGACTGAGGAAAATCTCAGCCAATGGGATGGATATTGGCTGTGTGAGACTAAAGGACAGTGCTCTTGAAAGGAGCAGTGAGTTTGTTTCTCAGACAGAGATCACTTACTTCATGGAGCCGCCTGGAATGGCCCTGAGAGGGTCCAGGACATCACACTGCTTTAGAGATCCATCAAGGTCAGCCTAGGGAATCTTGAGTCATTCTTCTTCTATCCCTAACAACAAGCTCTATGTGCTAAACTGGACCTGAAAAAAAGCAAACAAAAAACAAAGACTTGATGGAAAAATGTCCTGGGATGAAAACAAGCCACGAGAGGGCAGAATGGATGCTGAAGGTGGAAGCTTGCCTGTCCTGCCCAGCTGCCTTTAGTTGTAGGGTTGAGGGTAGATACGGTTTGCTGGAATTTTACATTCTGAAATTTCAGTTTAGGTGATTTTTTTTCTTTACATGGAAAAAATGGAAAGACTAGGGCAGGAGCCATGGTCAGTAAGCATCTGAGGCTGACTGGAGATTAAAGAAACAGGATTTAAGATTGAGAGTTGGGGGAGCCCCAACAGAAGAGCTTCGTGAGTGCCATTCTAAAGTGGGTGTGGCCTACTGGTCACTTTCTGTGTCCTGGGACACAATACCTGGCACCCGGAACATAAAAGAGGAAAGGTTTATTTTGGCTCACAGTTTGTAGAGGTTGCAAATGATGTTGCCTCAAACATCAAGACAAGATTTTTGAAAAACAAAAAGAAGAAACCTCTAGAATTCAGATATATTTGTGAAACAGAATCAGCAGGACTCAGTGGTTAATTATTTATGGCATTCGGAGAGGAGGAAGGCAAGGTAGAGTCTATGTTGTCTGGCTAGTAGGCTGACGGGCAAGTGAGGGGACTCCCCTCTTTAAATCAAGAATGCAGAAAGAAAAATAAGTGTAGAAAGGAAAAATAATCATTTCAGTTTTGGACATTTTGACACTTTAGATTTGTGTAGGAAGTGGGCGGAAACATTGGTTGAAAAAATCTCACAACATCACTGACAGAATTAAATAAGGCACTGTAGCAAGAGACTTGGTAAATCATGACACTACAAATGCTTTAAATATTATTTTAAATAGCCGGTAGGATGTTTTCTGTGTTTTTTTTCATATTTTACTTTTCGTGATATAAGAAATGGATAAAAGACATCATTTTGTTCTTCTAAACCTGTAGACATGAAGCTAAAAGCCAATGGTAAGGGCAAAATGGAAGAAGTCTGAAAGTTAGCGAATAATTTCTAATGGTTGTTGAAGTGGTGATTGAAACAAGTAATATGTGCACAACCACAAGTCACTGATAGAATACAATATCACCTATACTATTCAGTATGGTGGCAGTGAGATATATGTGCCTGTAAAGAACTTGCAATGTCACTAGTCAGACTGAGATGTGATACAGGGAGTCCAAAGAAAATATTTAAAAAGAAGGTAAGGCATCTACATTTTTTTACATTGATTACATATATAGTAATAATGTTTGGGGTATATTGGGTTAAGCAAAAATATATAATTAACATGGATTCATCTGCTGCTTTTCATATATGTGGATCACATTTGTACCTCACCTTGGATTTCTATGAAACAGCACTGGAAGAGAGCGTGATGAAACTGTTTTGAATCCTCAGGATTCTGCCCATCACTTGATACATGTCTTTCCCCTCCTCATGTGAACTGACTCCCCAAAGGTTTACAGCTCTGTCCAGATGACCATTTTTGCTCATTGCTTAACCCTAGAAAGAAAGGTGTTGGTCTGTGGGTTTTGCCCTCTTCAAGTATAGTCTTCCCATGATTTGTCCATCACTACAAGTGACCTCTTGAGATTGAGTCCAGATGACTAGGGTTGGAAGGAACCTCAAAATAATCTAACCCCACACCCTTCTTTTATGAATTTTTTAAAAGCCCGGAAAGGCCAGAAGGCATACCTAAATTATATTTTTTCCACTGCCCAACACTCTCTCCAGATGGATCTATTTGACCTTAAACAGTTTTATCTTCAAAGACAAATTTTTTCACAGAGAAGTGGGAGGAAAAACAAAATAGATTTAACATTGCCTTGGAGAAAATGGGAGGGGAATTGAAGAAACTCATCTTATGAACCTCCATTACGTTAAATGAGTAGGAGGGCAGGTCATCTTCCTTTAGAAGGAAGAAAACTAGTTTGTGGAGTGTGGAAGAAATTTAGAGGGAAAATGTTCAATGAAGGATTTGTCTCTAACTGTGTATCACAGTATGTAGGTATTCAAATAGAAAATTCTATAAAAAGGAACATGTAGGAAACTCATTGCTCTATGTTCCCTCCTTCAGAAATCACTGAACACCACCGAGGCTCACAATGGCTAACAGCATTTCATTTGGTTATAAATTAGGAAAATATGTGATCCCTCTGTGAACCACCAGTTGTTCAATATTATAATCAGGTCATATATATTTCTGGTTAGAAAGGATTTTCAAAATATAGGGTATACTAGTTTTGTAGACCTGTTGGTGGTGACTTAAAACAATAGAAACTTATTGACATACTTCTGGAAGCCAGAAGTCCAAATTCAAGGTGTGGATACAGCCATGCTTCCTTTGAATGCTTCAGGGGAGACTCCTTCTTTGCCTCTTCCCAGCTTCTGGTGGTTTGCTGCTGCTCCTTGGAATTCCTTGGCTTACAGCTATAGCACATCAATCTCTGCTTCTATCATCACATGACACCATCCTCTCATGTGTTTGTGTGTCTTGCCTTCTTATAAGGACACTAGTCATATCAGCTTAAGGGCCCACTAATGAGGTAATACCTCAGTTTAACTCATTACAATGGTGCCACCTTAATTTCCATACAGGGGTAAGATCTTGAACACATGTCGTTGGGAGACACAAACCAACCATACATAAGGTATTTCTTCTATGTGCATCCATTATAGTTGAATAAAAAGTTTATTTAAGACTTTGGGTCCCGACAAGGTAGCATACACCCATTTCTCTGAGCTCCATACCTAGTAGAATCTTTAACCCCAGAAATGGCACAAGAAGCAATCAAAGGAGGACTTCTAAAAGAAGACAATAACTGGTTTGAGACCTCAGAAGCAAAGTTAAAACACAGCATCAAGGCATCTTATATCCCCCACCCAACAAAGAAAAGTAGCCCAGAACAAACTTTTTCTGATCCCAAACTATAGGCCGTCTAGGTAGCCACACTCCCCCTGACAACATCAGGGGACCTTGTAACCCAACTGGAAAAAGGAATTAGTTGGTGGTCCAAGCAAGAGTAAATGACCACAAAAAGGATTATTTTACTGTGCCTAAGACTTTTCCCCTGCCAAAAGATACTCCGGGTCCCAGCAGCATCAACAAGAGAGTGATCGCCAATAAGCTTGGCCAGAAATCTCCTTGATCCTGATACAATAAGCTCCTGGAGGGAGAAATGACCCCTATTTCTCAGAGGGAGGGATGACCACACACCTCTAAGATTTTGACCAGGGGAGCCTTTTTGTCTTCATGAAACCAAGACACCCATGCTCCCCTATTTGGTCAGTTTCCCCCTTGCTGAACAAAATACCTGACATAAAGGAGAAGAGGTTTAACATGGCTCATAGTTTAGCAGGGTTCAGGTCATGGTCATCTGGCCCCAAGGCAAAAACATCATAGTGGACAGGCATGGTGGAACAACTGCTCACTTTATGGCAGTTGGGAAGCAAAGCACACAGGAAGAATACCAGAGAAAAAGGAAAAGGTCACACCTCCATGATCCACCCAGACATACCCAGAGGTGTGCTGTATTAATCCCCTGGTTGGTTTTGAGCCTATCACTCTGATGATTAATTTAACCATCACACACACACAGAGCCAGCTAGTGGCTCAATATAGAGAAGCCCTTTTATTCCTTAGGCACTACTAGTAAGGATACATGGGAGTCCCAGTGGCACCAGACAAACCCAAGCTAGCCAAAATAACATCAAAAAGAGTTTAAAAATTAAACTATCATTAGAATACAGACTGCTAAAATATGCTAAGATCTACAGGATAACTCTAAACACAATGAGTGCATGCTAGCCTAAGAGATTAAAATAGGACTCAGAATCTCTTAACATAATAGACAAGATGCCCAGGATATAATAAAAAAGGTCACCTATCATACCAAGAACCAAGAAAATTACAACTTGAATGAGAAGAAAAGCCAACTGAGATAATTGGATGTTAGAATTATGTGGCAAGGATTTCAAATCAATTGTTACAAAAATGCCTTCACCATAAATGTTCTTGAAGGAAAAAATGGAAAGTTTCAGCAAAGAAAGAAAAGTTAAACAGTACCAAGCAGAAGTTATAGAACAGAAAAATCCAATAGCAAAATTTAAGAAAATCATTAGGGGGGCTTAATAGTGAAGTGAAGATGACAGAAGATAGAACCAGTACATCTAAGGACAGAAAAATGAGATTGAACAATTTGAGAATAGAGAGAAAAGCAAAACTATGAGAAGAAACTTAGGAATCAGTAGAGCAATAAGAAAAGGTCCAACATTTATGTCATCCAAATTTACAGAAGGAGAAGCTAGAAGAATATTTCAAAGAAAGGGAAGCTAGGCAGGAATGGTAGTACCCCTCCTGCTCCTCTTGCTCCTCCTCCTCCTGTTCTTCCTCCTCCTCTTCCTCCTCCTCCTCTCCCCACTCCTCCTCCTTCTCCTTCTTCTCCTCCTCCTCCTCCTCTCCCCACTCCTCCTCCTTCTCCTTCTTCTCCTCCTCCTTCTTCTCTCCCCCTCTCCTCCTCTCTCTCTCTCTCTCTCTCTCTCTGAAACCCAGGTCTCCACACTGAGCTCCATCCCCTACCCTGCTGCCCTTTTTGAGACATCTTGCTAATACTTTGGAACCTCCTGCATCATCAGCCCTCCAGAGTGTGAGGATCACAGGTTTGTACCACCACACCCAGCTTTATTCTTTCTTATAAGGTAACTGGCATTGAATAATCCACAATATCCAGGATGTATCTTCTGGATACATCCATACTATTCAACATAGTACATTGACAAAACTATCCTTTAGGAGCTAGGGCAAAACAAAGACATTCCAGATGAAAGAAAAATGTTTTGTGGCTAGCAGGCCCACCCTTAAAGACTAAAAGTTCTGCAAACAGAAACAACGTAATAAATTTGGGATATCTGTAAGGAAGAATGAACTACAGGAAGAACACATATAAGGTACATACCAAGTCTACATACAATAGATGTATAAACTATTTGATTCAAT